TTTAATCGCCGCTATGCGCAGGGGCCAGCAGCCGCGCAGAGCTCCACCGCATCGGTCTGGCGGGGCGAGCCAGGGCTAGCCCAGGTCCTCCATGAAAACGGCCACACCCTGTCTTCCGGCCGGGACGTAGGCCAGGGCGTCCACCTCTCCCCCGCCGCGGCTGGCCTTCTGGAAGTGGATCTCCAGGGTGTCCCTCATGGCCTCCTCACCAAGCACGTCTGGGATCCCCGAAAGCAGGACGGTCCTGGGGCAGCGGGAAGGCTTGAGCTGGGCAGAGCCAGAGGTGAGCTGCAGCGGGACCCGTGCTACGTGGGGCAGCAGGAGGGCGCGCAGGGAAGGGGCCCCCTTGGGCCGCTTGTTGGGCAGGGTGGAGTGCTGCTCTGCTTGGGGCTGCCTGCTGGAGCCACACCTCAGGCTGCCAGGTGGCATGGGGTGCAGGTCTGCAGGAGCCCCCACCCGTGCTGGCTCACCCTGGGCTGGCAGGTGCAGCTGAACACCAGAGTTCATGCCCTTACCTGCAAGTTAGTGATGTCTCCACTCATGCAGGGTGATATTTTGAGCTTGTATTTTCCTTTCCCAATAAGCACCTGGATGTGCCCTCTCGCAATTAGTGGCTCTGCCACTGCAGATGGAGAGGAAAGCCCTGAGCCATCCAGACCTCTGCTGAGCTCCAGGAGAGGTTATGTCCCTGGCACAGACACCAAGGCTGGCACTACCCAGCCCCAGCTCACCTGCACCAGCACAGTCTTGAGGGAGAGAGGACAGCCTGGGCCCACTCTGCTTTCCCCATTCCCCACAGACACAGCTCCATCTGCTCTCAGGAGATGATCTGTGCACCCCCAAAGTTGGCTGGGCTGCTCCCCCCTTGCCGGCAGCCTGAGCTCAGCATGCCCCACTCACCTCCGTCCTGTGCGAAGGTCAGCACCACCTGGCCAGAGTCGTCCAGGAACTCCCTGCTCTCCACCTCGCCACCCCCATTCTTCGTCTTGCTGAAGAAGAGCTCCAGCTTGTCCAGCAGTGCCTCCTCGGGGATGCCCAGGCTGGGCAGATCAGACACGAGGATGCTCCTGCTGCTCCGAGTGAGCCCGATCTGTGAGTGGCACAGGCCAGTCAGTGCCAGAGCAGGGCAGGGCTGGCCCCAGAGCTTGGAGGAACAGCACAGCACTGCAACACCAATGTGCTGAGCTGGTACCAGCGACCTAGCAGAGAGAGGCTTGGGTAATGGCGGAGCAGGGCACAGCAAAGCTCATGCATGCCCAGGAAAGCTCTGCCATTCTCCACGGTGTGGTGAGCAGCAGGGCCTCAGGACCTACCTCCAGGGCAGACGGCAGCAATATATCCACTGGTGCTGCCTGTACTCGTACCCTGCACTGGTCGAGCTCCTCCAGCTCCTCCCCGTAGCTCAGCTCCACCATGTGCTCCTTCACCTCTATGATCCTTTGGGCCACTACAAGCAGGGAGAGCCCCCAGCATAGGTGATCAACCGCCTGCTCTGAGCACACCATGGGACAGGACAAGGGGCAGCTAATGCTTTGGGGAGAGGGCATAACCCCATACAACACTGGCAGAGGAATCAGAGCTCCAAGCCATGGCCCAGGGAGGGGATGCAGGGCAGGCCCCAAAGCTGATCAACTAGGACACCTGGCTGTGACAGTGCTCTTCTTGCTCTTACCCTCCGCTCTCTCAAAGGTGATGAGAGCTGAGCCCCCCAGCAGAGGGTAGTGGATCAGTGGGGTGAGCATCAGCTTGTTCACGTCCTCCTTGTTTGTCACAAGTCCCTTAAACACCATTTTCTTCTCTGGCAAGGCAGGCAGCATCTAGGTCAAGTACACAGCACCAGGACATTGGACCCCACACAAGGCCTGTCCCTGCCAATCTATAGCCCAGAAACAAGCTCACGGCTCAAAATAAACAGCTGGAAAGCCTCATCAGACTCTCTCCTTAGGGTCTGGCTGTGCCTGGAGTCCCAAAGCCATGACTGAAGGTTCTAGCTCTGGCAGAGGAGCCACCTGCTAGCAGGAGCTGTGCCAGTCGTTACACAGTGCCCAGCTGCATTTGCCTGCAGCCTCTCTAGCCAGGCTCACACCCCTTGCTAGCAGACCTGAGTGCCCACACACACACTCTGTTACCGTCACCGGATCCTCCCAGAGGACCCTCTTCCTCACTTCTTCCAGTTTCTTTTTCAGCACCTGCTTCTCCTGCCTCAGTCTGTTCTTCTCCTCCCCTGCTAAAAAAATGCCCACCTGGAAGGAAAGAAAGAAGAGGCAGTGAGGGAACCACCAGGACATGAGGGGCTACAGCACGCTCCCCGATCTAAACACAGCACTGTTCTTGGACACAGATCCACCCACACTGTTTTTCTGCTCTTGACTGCCTGCAGCCCTGCCCTTCCTCCACTGCTGCAGCACTAGCTCACTTCTCAGCACAGGCCTGATGTGACATCCCGTGAAACCTCCAACCAGGTCCAGAGCAAAGTTATCTCAGAGCAGTGAGACAAGTGATGCAGCCCCACCACCACTGCCACCTTTCTGAGCCCGACAGCTCCTCCAACCACCAACCTGGCAGGATCTCTCTTCATCTCTGTTTAAAGACATTTGTTGCTCAAGATTTTTATGAAGAAGTTCTCCCTCTTTCCTCAGGTCTCGTGTCCTTTGCTCTACAGCTTCCTTAGCCATTTGTAGCTTTGCGTGGTCTTGCTCCAGAGCACTACAAAGTTCCTGTGAGAGGTACCATCAGACAGCCAGACCCTGCAGACACTGCACCACCCCACTGGCTGTCCAGCCCCAGCACATGCTGCTCGTTTGGGAAGGAGCAGGGCTGCTCCCCGTGCAGAGCCCCAGACCCCGGTGCAGGCTCTCTTAACTGCGGGAAATCGCCTCTCTACCACTCCTGGCTCGTAACCCAAGAGAAGTAAGAAACTCAAGCTCACAGCCCAGGCTGGCTGGGGCGGAGCCCGGAACGGTTTGGATCCAACCCGGTCCACCTCTGACGGTCGCAGCAGGACGCACCTTGCAACACTCGATCTCCTGCCGGACTTGCTCGGGGGTCACCTCGGCGAAGCCGTCCTCCAGCCCCCCGGGGGCGGGCAGCTGGATGAAGGAGTCCTAAAGGCGGAAAGGGTCCTCAGCCACGC